GGGGCGGGGCCAGGGAGCCGACGTCGGGACCGTTCACAGACTGACCCAATCTAGGATAGAGAGACGCTGAGACCCAAGCAAAGCCACTGAACAAGAAAATCTTCGGCCCCCAGAGCCTGTGAGCGCCCAGCGGGGCGGGCACTGGGGACGCAGTGGGGCACCATGAGACAAGGGCTAGATCTCACCACCAAGTAGCAGCGTGCAGCAACGTTAAATAAAGCAAACCAGCGCAGACACACATAAATAAGCAAGCAGTCATTCTGGATATCGATAAAGGCTGCAGATAAAATAAATAATGGCACGGAGGGAGCTAGCATTAGAGCTCATCAGCGAGTCCCCGGAGGCCGTGGCATCTGAGCTGAGACCTGAGTGGCAAAAGCAGCCCTCCCCGCCCCGCCCCACCCCACTCCATTAGAGAGCTGTGCAAGCCTCGCCTGGCGCAGGAACCGAGGAGGTGGGGTACAGCAAGGATGGGAGCGGAGTGAGGCCTGAGGGGAAAGACAAGCCGAGGCTCACCCGCCTGCTGAGACTGGATTTAAGATACTGCTGCTGGGCCACTGGAGGCTGATAGCAGGGGCAAGGGATTGAAGTTAATGGAGGTTCGCTTAGCTCTTGGAGGGCGGGGCTATGGGGGAGAGTCAGGGAGGCTTCGAGAATCGAAGCCTCTAGATCCAGGCACATTTGGGAGCTGGAAGAAAGAGGGGCAATTCCAGGGCTTTGGTCCGGGGCATGGAGGAACAGGCTATCGTGTAGAAGTTTTGAAAAAGGGAAGTGGGGGGTGGGGGCAGAGAGGCCACAGTGCTGGGGCATTGGTGCTGGGAGGACAGAAATTCCCATGAAAAAACAGACCCAGAGGGCCCCAGGCAGAGACACTAAAAAGGGGTGTCTACAGGAAACCCTGAAGGCCCCTGCTGCGTGTTCTCCCCTGACCCTCTCTCTCTCCCCAGGCCCAGGATCCCTGGAGAACTCGGCGCCCAGGCCCCCAGGGCCCCTGACCCTCCTCTCCGCCCTGGGGTGGCTGTGGTGGAGGGTGTAGGACGAGCCCAGTGCAGCTGACTCCCCTGCAGGGGCCTGAAGCCGAGAGCGAGAGCAGAGGGGGGAGCGAGCGCCCTGGTCTCCAGCAGCGGACAGGAGAGCTCTCGGCCACCCGCGAGGAAGAAGGGAGGAAGAGGAGCGAGAAAGATCTTTACAGAACCCATCACTGTGAGGGATAACGCAAATTATGCATCTTTCTACAGCCATCTCACCGCCGTTCACGTTTCTGATTGTGACCTACCCTGGCCACCCCACACCCCTCTCTTAGCTCAGGCTGTCAACCAGATCGCGTGTGTGTAGTGGGTGTGTGTGCGTGACACTGCACGTGTGTGTGCGTGTGTGGGGAGGGGTGGTGGGGTGGGGGGGCTCAACGAACTTCCCTCCCTGGGCACCCCATGGCCACTGCCTCTCACCTGTGGCTGGAGGTAGGTGTGGGGGCTTCGCGGTGAAAGCTGTGAAGAGAGGTTCTCCACGCTCCCTGATTCCCCAATATATGCACGCACACCAGCCCCTCCCCTCCCCCTTCCCGCAGAAAGGGTGTCTCCAGGGCGGGCGGGGCTGAGGGAGGGGTGTCGCACCCACAGTGGAGCTGGGGAGACCCATGTGGGCTCTGGACATCCCTGCTGCTCACCGCCAGCTGCCTGCAGCCAGAGGCCCATGGCTGGCCTCCCCCTGACCCCACCCACCCTGGACTTTGTGGCCCCTCCAGGGCCAAACGGTGCTTCCATACAACTGTCAGGCTGGTGCCTCGAGCCACCTGTCTGTCTGAGTGTTTTGCCCTGCCCATCACCACTCCTGGACCACCTGCAGCGCCAGCCAGCTGCCCTAGTGCCGGGCAGCCCTCCCGCCCCCTGCGTGGGCTCGCTGGTCACCCGCCCTGCTCTTTCCTCCGACTGTACCTCCCGAAGGCTGACGACCTCACACACACGCAGACACACACGCATGCACGCACCAGCGACTGTGACCAGCAATAGCCCCGTCTCCAGCTGCCTTGTAGCCGGTGACCAGCTGTAGCTCCCCCAAGGTGGCAACTGTGGTCAAAGAGGGGCTCCGAGAGGCTGCACCCCCAGCTCTGACGCTGGTAGGAACAGCCACCCCGCACATCCCATCAGACAAAGCGGGGCAGAGAGGCGCCATCAGACACCCAAGTCCTGACCAGAGGCCCAGCTGCCCACAAACCAGAACACCCAGGCTGGGGGACGCAGGGCGGGGCAGGGGCCAGGGGCAGCGACTGTACCTCAGACAGGGGCGTGGGCCCCATCCCACATTGTCTTCCATTCCCAGGGTCCAGGGGATGGGGAGGGGCGGGGGATGGGACGCAAGGGAGGGGGGCGGGGGGCCCTGGGGGCCGTGTGTTCCGATTCATGGGGAGTGTTGAGACCACCACACCAATAAACGCCTTTTTCCAAAGTCTCTGCCTTCAGTGCCCAGGTCCTTAGGGGCGGGGAGTGGCGGGCGAGGGGTCCAGGCCACTAGGTGGCGCCTTTCAACATCCTTCCTACCTGCCTCTCTCTTTGGTAGAGTGGGAATATAGCCATAGAGGTGCTGGCGACTTGCTTAAGTTCCTCAGCATGGCTCACCCGCCGCGACTGGTTCAGAAGGGGGCTACCAAGTCGTGGAACAGAGCATGGATACGGGGTGTCGGGATTCCTGAGGCCTGCCGCCCCACTGCTCGGCAGTGGGGTCCAACCCCATGAAGCCTACATCTGCTTCCCTTAGTCACACAAGGACGCCTCTGTCAGAGGGAAAGCAAGCTGGGGAGAGAGTGTGCAGACACTGGAGAAACCAAACCATGCAGACACCGTTTGAGCAGCTGGAGCAAGACGAACCTGGTACCCAGCCTCACCTGCGCAAAGCCCCCCATATGTTTAAGAAATTGCGGTAGATTCTCTGTGTCTAGTGACTGGAGGAAATGGACACCTTCAATGATGCAGAAGAGCGAAGAGAGAGGCACCCAGGACTCCAGCCTCCTCCTAAAAGGGACGGACAAGGTCTACTTCCCAGAGGCCTCGTTCAGCCCAGCCTTTAACCCCAGCGCCTCACAGCCACAGCCCTTGTCTTCTGCTTTCTTTGCTGTCCCTCTCAAACCACACGTCCACGTTGCTTGCCACCATTTATTTTACGTGCAGCTGAAAGAATCTTCATTGATCTAATAAACCTCCAGTGAGAAAGCCAGCTGAAAAAGATACCCTGCCTCCCAGACAACGGGCTGCCATTCGTTTCCCGGCCTCCCTTGCAGTGATGTGGCCAGTTTGTGGTCAGTGAGACTGAAGGAAAGTTTGCCGGTGTGCTTCCAAGCGTCTCCACTCATAATGTTGGTCAAGGGGTAAGGAGCGCGTGGAGACCCTTGTCCCTTTGTCTTCAGGTAGGGTGGTGTGAAGATGTGCTGTCTGGAGCAGCGGCAGCCACTTCGTAATACCAGACAGCAAGCCAGCTGGCACCATGCACAGGGCCAGGCCACCAAGTCGCTGAGTCAGTCTGACGCCACCCACTTCCATGACGCTTGCCACCATCTATTTTGTTACTTGCAGCCAAAAGAATCTTCACTGATCTGTTAAATTTCCAGTGAGAAACCCAGCTGAGAAAGAGAGACGGCATGCAGAGAGAGCAGCAGTGAGCCCGCCCCTCCCCAAAACATCTGACAGTCAAGGATGACTTATGATCGCTTTCTGTGCGCCAGCCTCTGTGGGGACGACATGGTCTCTGCCACTGTGCAGTTCTCAGCTTAGGCAGGGACTCAGGGACAAGACAGGTCAGTATGTGTTGACGTACAAGGTGAGATTAGCACCTCCAGGGCCAAGCCAGGTCTGAGGCAGGAGTTAGGGCAAGTCTCCCAGGAAGGTTTGAGGAGAGGGGGTTCTAAGGGCCTGGAAGTCACGAAGACAGGCAGAGATGACCTCTGCTACCAGAGAAAGCAGGGAGAAAGCCCTAAAAGGGGAAGTGAGAGAGGTGGAGGAGGCCAAAGCAGAGCCGGTGAAGGCCACGAGGAGGGCAGTGGGCTTAAGTAGGAGGGCTGAGCCAGAAGAGGGAGGGGTGAGATTCTTGGCAAGATGAAGACTCTGGGGCCCCCCGGGGCTTGGCCTCCAGGAATGAGTGTGGAGGAAGACCTTTTCAGAAGCAAAGAGGACCCCGCTCCAGCTCACGCCCTGCCTGTGGGCTGCAGAACCAGCATGTCAGCCTGGAGGTCGCGGGAACCTCCCTGTGAGATCAGCAGGCGTCTCTTGTGCCCAGACGTCCCTGCTCCCTAGTTGCACAAATACAGGTGGAGTCTTCTGCATCGAGGGAGGCGGACGGGAGTCGCGACTCCGGTGACCAACCAGAGGCCACAGCGGACCGGAGGACCTGCCCGCTGCTGGGGTGAAGCAGGAAGTCCCGCCCCAAGAGTCCAGGGCCCAGCAGGCTGCCGGCTCCACTCACACCTGCGTCGCTGCCCGGACAGTCCTCGGGCCCCCGCTGGGAGAGACGACTGGTCTGGGGTCAGCGGCCTGCAAGAGAGAAGTGCGGGCAGGGACAACCTCGCGAGCTGCCTCAGAAGCGATATGCGTCGCCCCTCTTGGCTTTCAAGGGGCAGAGTCTGAGCGCGGAGGGAGGGCAGGTGTGATGGGGAGGAAATTCCTGCCCAGTTCGGGGCAGTTTCGCCAGCTGGCATGAGAAGGAATAAGGAGGTCAAACTTGAGTCAAAACAGCCTCCGTGGGCGGGAGGAGTGGGCATGTCACCCTTTAAATAGAATAGCTCGGCGGGAAGTTTTGTAGAACTTTTGTTCATTAAAACAACGGGGCGGGGGGCGGGTGGAAATCACCGACCGACTCTGCCAACCAGCAAGTGAAGCTGAGGGGCGAGAATTCACACCCTCTCAGCTCCCCGAGAAAACAAGGAAAGGTCCCCTCGGTGCCCCTCGCTCCGTGGACTTTGGGGCACCCCCACTCACTCGGGGGGCCTCCAGCGGGGCTTTGGGGGGCAGAGGCGGCGGGGTCTGTACTGGGAAGACACTGGGCGCCTTCTCCTCGGGCGGGAGGACCGCCGGCCTCAGGGCGGCAGGATGCTTCTTTTTAAGCTTCTCTCCTAGGAGGGTGGGAGGAGGAAGAGAGGCCAGCACGTCATTGGCTGTTCTAGAGGCCAGCCCAGCCAATGGCAAGGCGAGTTGTCCCGAGAGGTGTGGCCTTACTCTGATTGGCTGAGATGGCGTTAAAAAGGTGGGTGGGAGCAGCTATGACTGTGCTGATTGGCCCAGCCAAGTTCCAATGGAGCTGTTTTAGGGGCTCTCCAAGATGGCCCCCTCACTCACCCCGAAAGCGGCACAGGTAGCAGATGCAGAGGAGGAGAAGTGCTGACAGGAGCGCCAGGCCCAGCAGGGAGCCCAGGACGATGCCAGCGATGGCCCCCGGCCCCAGGGTTTGATCTGGAAAGAGGAAAAGTGGGCGAGGGAGCAGGAGCCGGGGCTGGAACCGAGTTTCTCGGGCCCCTGTCCCAAGCCTCTCAGAGCCTGGGGCGCTCAAATCTCTTAATATGTGCTGAGTGACCGTGGTGTGCCTGGCGCTCCTAGCAGGTCGTGAAGACCCATGGTTGGGCAGAAGGGGCCCGGCCCTACCCCGGCAGGGACTCACTGGAAGAGGGAGATCAGAAATGAGTGTGCGAGTAAATAACAAAACCCTGCTGGTGCTACCAAAATCAAAATTGTGATGGTAGAACCAAAGGGAAGAGGGGGACATTGAGCAAGGTGGTGAAGGAAGATACCTGAGGAAATAACACCTGAGACC